GGGTGGGGGTGGGGGGGCACGAGAAAGCAAATAAATAAAACAAGAGGCTACATGTGAATATGTTTGCTCGTATCTCAATATGTTTTGGAAAGATTTTTTTATTTTATGACAGTTTAATTGAATTTTGAAGGACGGGGTTAGTTGGGATAAATCTTGTGCCAGCAGGAATTGAATTTAAATTGCTCAGATTGAATCTGAATGTGCGTAATTTGAAATTGAATGCATCCATCCATTTTCTGCCGCTTATCCGGGATCGAGTCGTGGGGGCAGCAGCAAACAGAGAGATCCAGACTTCCCTGTCCCCAGCCATTGGACCAACTCATCCGGAAGAATCCCAAGGTGTTCCCAGGCTAGTTGAGAAACCTAGTCCCTCCAGCGTGTCCTGGGTCTTCCTCTGGGCCTCCTCCCAGTGGGATGTGCCCGGAACACCTCACCAGGGAGGCGTCCAGGAGGCATCCTAACCAGATGAACCACCTCAGCTGGCTCCTCTCGATGTGGAGGAGCAGCGGCTCAATGAGTACCTCCCGGATGACTGAGACCCTATCTCTAGGGGAGAGCCCAGACACCCTGCGAAGGAAACTCATTTCAGCCGCTTGTATCCACCATCTCATTCTTTCCGTCACTACCCAAAGTTCGTGACCATAGATGAGGGTAGAAATGTAGACCGACCGGTAAACCGAGAGCTTTGCTTCTGGCTCAGCTCCCGCTTCACCACGACAGACCGGTACAACACCCGCATCACTGCAGACACAGCACCAATCCTCCTGTCGGTCTCCTGCTCCATTCTTCCCTCGTTCGTGAACAAGACCCCGAGATACTTGAACTCCTCCACTTGTTGCAGGACCTCCTCCCCGACCCGGGTACGGCATGCTACCGGTTTCCGGCTCAAGACCAAGACTTTTTGTAAAATACTCCTGTCCAAGGTCTGTTGATGCAGCTCGCGTCTGGTTCTCCTCTTGATGGGGGTTGTACGGAGGAGGGGGTGGCTGGGCCTGATGCTGGAATGCCCCAGTAGAGTTTATGACCACTTCTCTGTTGTCATGACAACTGGAGGCCGACTGAGTCCTCACCACAAACAGTTCTTTCAACTTGTTTCACAACAACAACAACAACAACAACAACAACAACAAC